ACTGATATCCCGTACGTGTAATAAAACTTCTCTTACTTTGGTCTGGCCCGACACCTTCCAAGGGTAATTCGATCTACTAACATACACGGTACCCAGGTTTAATAACCACACTTCTTCTTTACCCTGCAAATTTGAATCCAGCCTCCCCGTACCCTCGGGTAACACGTACGGTCCCAGAAGTTTTGGCGGGTAAGGTTATTATCATAGGAATACGGAAGCCAGAAGGTTGATGTTTTGTGGGCATGTCCCCTGCCAACACGTGACTCAGACAATTTAAATTCAGCTTTCCTCTGCCCGCGGGTAACACGAACGGCCCCGTGAAAATTTTTACAGTAAATTATTATCTCAGGAACCACTGAACAGACAAAGCTGAAACTTTAGTATGATAGTCCTTTGCCCACGCTCGACCTTGCCTATTCAAATTCAGCGTTCCCGCGCACTCGGGTATCGCCTGTGGCCCCGTGAAAGTTTTGGCGGATAAATTATTATCTCGGGGACCACGGAATCCAGGAAGCTAAAATTTTTAAGCAATGACTTACTACCCGTGTACAACCTCGCAAGCTCAAAATCAGTGTTCCTACGCTCTCGGATATCACCAACGGTCCCGTTAAAATTTTGGCGGGGAAATTATTATCTCAGGAAAAAGCCAGGAAGCTGAAATCTTATGGTATGTCTTCTGTCCACATACAATTCTGCAATTTTAAATTCAGCTTTTCCCGCGTCCTAGTATCACTTACGGCAGGAAGCTTCGGCAGGAAAAATTATTATCTCAGGAGCCGCGAAAGTTGAGAATCTGAAATTTTGGGGTGACCTCCTCTACAAATGTACGACCTCGCAAATTAGGACTCAGCCTTCACGCAATCCTGGGTACCACGTACAGCCCCGTGGAACTTTTAACAGAGAAATTATTATCTCGTGTGCGTGAAATTTTCAATGGGATATTCCGCACCTTGAAAACCAAACAATATTTTGTCTACTTTTGCGTAGGCCAAAGTGCAAAACAGTGAAAATCATTAGTAGGTAATCGTTCGGTGAACGGAACTGCACAAAACGCATAATCCCACCGGCTGCCTTTGTGCACGCCGCTATTTATTATTATCTGTTTTCCTCTTCAAGTGAAGAACTTTATTATCAAATGCCGGGCTATTACAAAAACTCGGCTTGGCTCAGCTCGGCTGGTGATATATGGTACTTGGGCCATCCAGCGCTTTGCTCTAACATTTCTGTCAACACTATTTCGCGGCGACGCTTGCTGGAATCTTGCCAGACACGCTGGGTAGCACTGCCCAGTGTTTGACGGCTGAATTGCGTGGCCAGGGGGTGACGGGTGGGAGGATTGGACGTGGTTGGGGGTGTTGGTTGGTAGCTGCCCGTATATAGCTCAGACGGCGCGATTGGGGCCAGTATAATGCTAGTCAGGAGTTCAAAGCAAGAACTGCAGACAGCAGTAAAGAGGACCAGCATGTCATGCATTTCTAGACTTCGAGGACCAGTGCATCACGCATTTCTAGCTATTGGGTGTCCGAGCGGTTTCATTACGGCACGAGATATTGCAAAAACGCATGATCGCACGGGCCAGCCCGGTGTGCGTCGCCAGCGATTGAATGTGATGACTTGTTTAACGGAATTATTGATGAGTGCAAAAGGTTCTCCGCCTTTTGAGTTATGTCTGAAAATGCCAAGACTCGGTACTAGTAGTGAAGCCGCAAAATATGCACTACTTAGCCGCAAGACTGCAACATTTCTAGTTATTTTAAATAGTCTGCGCGTGTAAAATTTCCGAGGCAAAACGACCATATAGCAGCAAATTAAAAAGAAATTGCAATGCCCGGATAATTGCTTTATCTTCTAGGCGGCTGTAACTGACAGCATTGTCGTGCTTAAAATGTTTTCGGTTACTTCAGTTGTGGAGCACTGTGAAGGACTGCAAATTGATTTGAACAAAGAATTTACGCAAGAAGACCTGCCATAGACTGGCTTAATTGCACTGGCGATATCGCAGTGCAGGGACGAAGAACGGGTCATTATCATAGCAGTTTCGAAGGCAAAAGCACACAGCTGGTTTAACTTTTGTGAGGAAACAAGTGTAAAGTTTTTCCAACATAATGTGCCCCGTTCCTTTAAAATAACAGGTTTGCGCTAGCACCATAGTGCCTACATGGTGAGTAAGTATCTGTGCAAATTGCCACATAGGGCCACCACCTATTTTTTGCTGTGATGAAAAAATCAGCTGTTAAATGCGATCGTATATGCACAAAAGTCCTCTTTCAGAGCTGACATGCACAATAACAAAAACCTTACCCATATATGATTCTTTTCTGTCTTGTTTATTGCGTAGTTTTCTTCGATAAGATCGCCGTTATCATCAATTTTCAATTTCTCCAAGCGATTTGATGTGGCATTCACCGCATCCGCTGTTTCCT